TGTTGCTGTAAAGCAAAGTCAGCATTGAGGCGTTCACGACGGGGTCTCCACACACGAACACGATTGTCATCACTGCTGAGATTGAATCTGGATTCGTCGCTAAAAACGACCTGGTTCCCTTCCGCTGGAGTCAAGTTTCCTCGTGCTCGACACCACTCCAAACGGAGGCACTGATGGGTGAGCATCAAGGGCGGCACACATAATGAGTGTCGCAATCCCAAATGTCCTTCAGCCAGGCGCTTTCGTGTGTTTCGAGAAGACACACAGGCCCCTAATGAAGGTGCTACCTGGGCCTGGATGGCAGCCGATGAAGCAGTTGGCATTACATGTGCATTTTTTACGATGTGGTGGTCTTCTCGCCCCTCTGTTGAGGGCGTCCTGATCATAGTCTTTATTTAAATGACATCTTTCGGATTCACTGGTCCCAACACCTCTTCACAACACAATCAGAGCGGCCTAATTGACGAGCTACTCGCCTAGCTGACCACCTAGCTTCCATCATGCCGATAATTCTCCCTCTCTCATATTGTCTTCAAAAATGGCATGTCTACCACAGCTCTTGCTTTGTGAACTATTCAGCCCACTCAAACAAGCTTTGGTTTTACTTGTTTTATACTCGACGGATAACGACGTTAAATGCCCGCTACCGGCTATACGTAATGCGCAACCGTGCTGCATTTCTAATCATTTGCATATCTCCTCATAATGTAACTTCATGCCAAGTTTCGTTACGATCCCGCAATTATTTTTTGGCGCGCTAATTTTTTTGTCCATGAGTATACTATCAGAATTTAGGTATTGTTACGAATTTAAAGTAAATAGTGTAAATAAAAAATTTGTATTTGGGTGTTTAATGCATTTATATTACTCTATGTTATATTTATTTCATGTTAAAATTGTACTATTCACAAGCAGTGCCGCCCCTTACGTTATAATGGCGATTCAATGAGAACTTGGCGAAATCTTGGCGGTAGAGCCAAGTTGGCATCATTTTTGGCGACTTTGGCGACAATGTTGGCGAATTCGGAACCCTCTGGAATCTTCTAGAAAGTAGTTGATCTCTCCACTAGTGTCACGTTCCATGACACGAGCGGTTATATTTCTAGATGCTTCTATCGCGCCTATAAAATGGATGCTCGCCGGTGCGGCGAAGAGTCTTGATTAAGCCAGCGAGTAGTGAGGATAGTTTTTACTAGCGATTAGCTTGGCTGTGTGCTTGTGAATAATCTTTACGTACGTGTATTTTTAAACTCTCTTCTTGTGTTTGATTACCGCCGTCGAAGGTGTGAAGACCTTCGGATAATGACCCTGTGAATACTGCTGCTGAATCCTGTATTTAAAGCATTCAGCAGCAATATTATTTGAAACAAAATGCAGTTAATCAAAGGTAACAATTTATCATTATTTCGCTTGGATACTAACCAAAAAAGTATCCAGGCAAGTTGTTTTTGAAGTTATTAATATTTCAAGTTATTTTTGGAGTACAGACATGTATGATGAATTTGATATTTTCCACCAACGTAAGTTTCATGTGTATTTGTAATATCGAAAGATTTCACATCTAAAATTAATGAAATGTTTTGATATAAATCATTTCAGATTCTATATATATAAAGAAAGAGAAAGAGTGAAATATGTATATGGGATTTTATATCTCTCTTTTAGAGATTTTCGTATAAATTATTAAGGAATGCTGAAAACAGATTATGCAATGCACTATGGATAATAAATTTTAAAAAAAATCTTAAAACGCAACTTTTTATTTAATGTACTAAAAAAAATAAAATAAGCTTTTTTTTTAAACTTTTTTTGCTATCATCTTATAAAGTCGTTACACAATTTGTGATATAAAAGCTTGTCGCGAAATTCAAGTACTCATATTTACTTAGTTTCAAAATTTTAAAAATAGAAATCAATCAGATCAAGTTATTTAATGTGCTTGTTTATCTACACAGGTAAATCTCGCGAAAAGCTTTTATATCATAAATTGTGTAACGGCTTTATAAGATGACAGCAAACAAAGTTTTAAAAGAAAAGTTTATTTTATTCTTTTAATTTATTTTTTACTTTTTAGTTATAGCTGGACAGAGTTTTCTGTCTCTTAATCTCATTCAACGTACCATTGTTGCACAGTCATTTGCCAGTTAATTTTGAACAGTCCAGTTAAGGGGTACTCAACGTTTTTTGCAACCAGACCGCATAAAAATGATAGATATTTCACTCGGGCCGCAACAAGAGAATAGGAAGGGGGATAAACACTGTTATGGTTATACCGAAAAAACATTGGACAAAGCAAAATTAATTAAAATATTAAAACCTTTTTTTTTTTGCTTTTACTATAATACTATATTAAAAGCGAAACATATTTTTTTTCTTTAAATCCATAATTTTTTTAATTTTTTTGCAGAATTTGGATAATACTATTTACAAACGAAAAAATATTTTTGTGTGATTATATTTAAAAATAATGAAGTTTTTTTAAAGGTTTTATTAAAAATACAAGTATTTTTTGTAAAATCATAAAAAAAAAATTTAGTTATTTCTTTTTTAAAATGATTGATTTTAAAAGAAAAAAGCCTGAACTTTTTTAGTGCAGAATATCGATTCAATAACAGGAAAAAAGAAAAAATCATACGGAACGATTTTGAATTCATTTTCATGAAAAGGCATCGATTTTGACTCATTTTAGAAAAAAATTGTAAAAAAATGAAAATATTATTTTAAAAAATTATACCGTATCGTAGCAAAATGAATAATTTTCCGATTAGGTAATTATTTTTTTTCTCTCGTTTGATAGAAAGAATAATATGGTTTTGGAAAATAGCTCGAAAAATTGGAGCTTCTTTAAGATTAATCCGATAAACTGTTCAGCAGAGTAAAAAGCTAATAGGGGTTTGAAGGTTTTCAATTAATATTTTTTAAAGTAATTGTCATAACGGAAAATAAATCATCAAAAGAGAAATTGTCATCCAAACTAAACGTGCATAAAAAATTTCAAATCAATCGGTTGAAGACATCGACTTCAAAATTGAGTTGCAAAATTCCCCCCGAAAAAATTACTTTAATTAATATCTACATTAAAATTCGAAGTTAAAAAAAACTTATGCGACTATACGGCTGGGTGTATCTTCTCACGCACCGCACGGTGCAGAAACTCGCCGTAGGTACGAAAAGATTGGGAAGGACCCGAGTAATTAGTTTTGACCATTTATATTACGAAAGTGCAATTAGCTAAAAAGATATTAATTAAAAATCTTAAAACGCATAATTATTGCACTTTTTCTCGCCAGGTGGTAAAGTTCCAATTTTCCGAACTTTTTTTTTTTTATCCCAGAAGTTTTTGAAACACGATCTAATTTTTTATGAGACTCGGGCAAAAAAGAATTACAAAAATGGAAAGATCGTTTACTTCGCCAAAATACGGTATAATTTATTTTACAAAATAATGTTTTCTAAAATCAGTCAAAATCGATACGCTTTTATAAAAAAGAATTCTAAATCATTCCAATTGAATCTTCTTTCACTTTAATGAGATGATATTCTACACTAATAAAATACCTGCTTTTCTATTTAGAACCAGTTATTTAAAAAATAAAATGTCAAAAAATTTTTTATGATTTTTCAAAGAATACTCAAAATTTTATTGAAAAACTTAATAATTTCTTTATTTAAAAAATAATTTAATGAAATTTTTTCCGGTTGTAGAACTAAATCATCTGTAATCTGTACAAAGATGAAAAAATTGCTTAAAAATTACGGCTTAAAAAATTTTGCTTTTCGTTTTTCTCCCTTTTTGCGAGAAATATTTAAGCATTATTTTTGTTACTTTTTTGGTTAAAAAATTACCGTTCTTTGCAATCGATATATGAAGTTTGAAGGCATTAACTTAAAAATGAAGCTCGAAAGAAATTAAAGCAAATAACGTAATGCGAAATTGTGAATAACTCTTCCTTTTATTTCAATAGTCTTTTATTTCTTTTTTTTTCAGAAGATTTCGTAGATCGGTCACTTAGACCGCTAGATTAATAACTTTTGTACCCGGGTTCAAAACAACATAATTGCTTAGTGCTTATGATTTTTATAAAAAATTCTGAAAATTTTTTCCCGCATTTAATAACTTTGCTAGAATTTTTGTGACTGGAAAGATAATTTATTTCGTTACAATATAATATTTTTTTTACAAAATAGTTAATTTACATATTTTATTATTTTTCAAAAATGAATGAATATCGATGCGTTTATATAAAAATGATTTTTAAAAAACTCATACTTTGATATTTTACAGTTAGTGATTTAAAAAAAAAATGTCGAAAACGTTTTTGTGAATTTTTTTGTGCAATTATTTATTATTTTTGTGCCACTATATAACTGCACGTGTTAAGCTGCTTAAGAATCGGTGAATGCTCACTTACTCGAGAGCTCTGATATGGACAGGAAAAGGAGAATTTCCATGACAATATATTATTCATTTAAAAATGTTCGTGCAACGCCGGGGAAAACAAACCTGTCTGACAAAGAAAAGAAGCGAAAAAATTTCGATAAAGGTAATTCTAAGTTATACACTCGGTAAAACCCGAGCAACGCCGAGCTAAGCGGAGGAGGGGGATGTCATTTTGGAAAAAAGTATTACAAGTGCTGATTTTGTGAAGAAAAGGGAAAAATTTTATAAAAGCAGAGAAAGCTAGTGCAACGCCAGTCCATGCAGCTAGTGTTTTTAACTAAATACAATATCGGAAGATAAATGGTCAAAACATGCATTTCCATCCAAACTATAAAAAAAAAAATGTGTATACAAAATTTCATCTCATTAGGTTGAAGATATCAGCTTCAAAATTCAGTTGCAAGAATAAACCCGAACATTTTACATTGCAAGTTAAGTAAAAGCTTGTGTAAAATATAACATACTTTGTACGTATACAGAGTGAAAGTATTGTAAAATATCTCGCGTGTTGTCCAAATGAAACGAATTTCAATAATTTTTTACCACCAAAAATAATAATTGGAGGCGCGGGGTATTGATCCCCGAACCTCTTGCAGGCTAAGCGATCACTCTACCATCTGAGCTATGCTCCCGGTCGACACCTGCGTTATTGTAAAAATGCTCGCCTTAACACCTGAATATGACCATTACATTAACTAGGTCGATATCAGAATATCAATTGTCAAATCATGCGTTGCCATACAAACTAAACGTGTATACAAAATTTCAGCTCAATCGGTTGAAGACATCAGCTTCAAAATTGTTTTCAAGCTTCCATCTGAACATTTTACATTTTGCAAGTTAAATAAAAACTTGAAAAATTTAACATTCTTTATACGTATACAGAGTGGAAGTATTGTAAAATTTCTCGTTGTACAAAACATACTAATTTGAAAAATGTTTTACACGAAAAAATAATAGCTGAAGTTGCGGGGTATCAAACCCTTCCTCTCGCACGATAATCGAGCAAGCTAACATTTGAGCTACGCTCCCGGTCGATATCTGTGTTATTGTAAACACATGCTCGTCTTAAGACCTGAACAAGATCGTTACAGTAACTAGGTCGATATCAGACTATAAATCGTCAAATCATGCATTGTCATTCAAACTATACGTGTATACAAAATTTCAGCTCAATCGGTTGAAGACATCAGCTTCAAAATTGAGCTGCAAATTTTTCCATCCGAACAAATTACTTAAATTAATATCTTTAAAACTACTTGCGATATCGGAATAAAAAGGGTCAAAACATGCATTGTCATCCAAACTAAATGTGTATACAAAATTTCAGCTCAATCGGTTGAAGACATTAGCTTCAAAATTGAGTGGCAAGATTCCACCCGATCATTTTTCATTGCAAGTTAAATAAAAGCTTGTAATATATGGCATATACGATATTCATTTATTACAGTATTTATGAATCCATTATCTCTTCTATTTTAGATACCTCAGTTTAAGGTGCACATATTCTTAAAATAGATTACTATTTGTTAATAAGTTAAGAGTTATATCCTAAAATGTTTGTAATCTACTATTAACATGCAATTTACTTGTTTTGAGTACTTTATATATATATATATATATATATATATATATATATAACTCCTATAACTTTAGATATTCTCATAAAAATTATTATTAAAAAAAATTCACAAAAAAAAAAAAATTGTAACTTAAAAAAAAAGAAATAAATATTGCAGATGTTATAAAAAAATAATTTAGTAGGTACCGAAATTGCAAAAAAGATTAGTTAATTCAAATAAAAATTTAATAATTATATTTAGATTTGAACATAGCACTGTGAATTTCGATTTTATAATGTTGTAGTGCAGCAAAAGCATTTTTCCTAAATGTTTCTTTATAATCTAGCCTACATGTGAAGCAGATACTCTGCGCTTGTATAAAATAAAAAAGTACATTTTATGAATTAAAAATAAACAAAGATAAAACATTTACAATAAATTGTCTGCTTGTTTGAATAATTCAAGTTAAAATATATATATATATATATATATATATATATATATATAATATATATATAATATTTACTAATTGATGTGTAAAATAGAACTTTCTTTTTAGTTTGTCAAATGGATTAATTGAACTACCTTTCAACAATTATGTATGTAATTCACTTGATTATGAGTTAGATTGATTAAAAGCATTAAGGTATCCAACTACGTAAGGAACCGTGATTTTCAAAAGCGCATAAATGGATAATTTTCATGATATTTAGTGTCACTTAGATTATAACATATGCATAAAATTGTTTTAAAACCATTTTGAGAAAAAAATTATTTAAATACAATATTTCGGCAAGAAATTAACTTAGAATAACCTTTTTTAAAAATGTTCTTTTGGGAAAAATGCTTCTATTATAATAATATTTTGCCTGTATATAGCTCAGACCTCTGTTCAGAGGCCCAACTAGAATTTTTGAAATATCTAACTTAAAAGTGGGTTTATTCATATTTTACAACGACAACAGAGGGAGAAATTTTAAGAAAAAAACGCAAATAATTATTTCAATTTCAATTGGTGGTAACTCTGAAAATAATGTGAGTTTTCAAAAATTCTAGTTGAGCCTCTGTAGAGAGGTCTGAGCTATATACAGGCAAAATATTATTATATTAGAACCATTTTTCACAAAAGGAGAACATTTGGAAAAAAGATTATTCTAAGTTAATTTTTTGCCAAATTATTATATTTAAATAAATTTTTTTTGTCAAATTGTCCTTAAAACAATTTTATGCATGTATTCTAGTCTGATTGACACTAAATATCATGAAAATTATCCATTTATGTGCTTTTTTTAAAATCTCTTCTCCGAACGTAGTCGGATACCTTAAGGTATCCGACTATGTTCAGATCCGTGATTTTGCAAAAGCTTATAAATGGATAATAATTATGATATTTAGTGTCACTTAGATTAGAAAGTGCATATAAAATTGTTTTAAGAATAGTATTACAATAAAAATGATTTAAGTACAATATTTTAACAGAAAATGAATGACCCATTTTCAAAACATTTTCCTTTTGTGAAAAATGCTTCTTTTATAATAATATTTTGCCTTTATATAGCTCAGACCTCAGTACAGAGGCAACTAGAATCCATAATTTACAAGTGGGTTGATCCATGTTTCACGACAACAGAGGGGACAAATTTGAAGAAAGAAAACGCCGATAATTATTTCAATTCATTGTAACTCTTGAAATAATGTGAATTTTTCAAAAATCACAGTTCAGCCTCTGTACAGAGGTGTGAGCTATATACACAGGCAAAATATTATTGTAATAGAAACATTTTTCACAAAAGGAGAACATTTTTAAAAAAGGTTATTCTTAGTTATTTTTTTGTCGAAATATATTGTGCTTAAATAATTTTTTTTGGCACAATGTCCTTAAAACCATTTTATACATGTATTCTAATCTTATTGACACTAAATATCATGAAATTTATCCATTTATGCGCTTTTTTAAATTCACGGTTTCGAACCGTGTAAAATCCGGTACCTTAAAAACCCATGAAATTATCTTCTAACAAAAATTTGCTTACATGAAAGTGAACTGATTCAATTGATGATATTACATCTGAAAAGTATTAATAAATCTGAAAGAAATTGATACAAAGTAGTAATTGTATTACAAATATTACAAAGTACATACAAAGTAAACAAAATATACAAAGTACAATAATTGTATTACAAATTAATTTTATGTACATTTCAACACCTTATTTTTTAATCTAAAAATAAATTACCTCATCATCAATTTGTGTAACATCCTCTAAGTTTCTGCTGATGTATTATGTTATTGCCTCAATGATATTTCTACTTCAACTACCAATAGCATACAAGATTTTACAAAGTTGTCATTCTTTCTTGAAACCTTGGTTATTTTTTCATAAGCATACTCATTTTGATTTTATAATCAGCATTTCTGCTTGTATTATTTTGTTTGGGCTACTTTGAAGGATAGCAATTCAAAGTTTTAGAAATGCAAATCTAAAATACAGGGAAGCATTTATTCAGATAATTAAAAATAGGCATCTTTTTAGTTAATTTAAAACATTTATCCTAATATAGATAAATATGTTTTTGAAATTTATAACATTCCCAACATAAATATAGCTTAAAACTAGCAAAAATTAATATTAAAGTCTTAAATATTTTAATTTTTTTTCTCTTTATCAATCATAAAAATGAATTGACTTGTTTCCGGAACTAATAAATTTTCTTCTTTAGACACCTCACATGTATTTTCAGAATTTTTAATGAGAATTAAAAAAACTTACATAGAAATCAAAACACTTTTATTTCTTTGAAAAACTGCACAATACATTAATTAATCTTCATAACTGATTTCAGAATCTTCAGAGTTTATTTATCTACAGAACTTAATAATTCCCAAACAATCATACGATTCAAAGCTTGATCATCAGTTTATTTGCTAAAAATTAGTTTAAAACAAACCAGTTTGTCGAAACAAATATTTATATAATTATAAAGAGCAACAAAATGAATAAAAAATTATTTTAAAAATGATTATAAAGAAATGTGTTGTTCTTACTAATGCCACCTGTCTGACGTAGTCAGATCGTAGCCCATAAAATTCATCACAGCAAAGGTCTAGTTGTACACCTTCTTTAACCGTAGCTTAGAACACCATACAGATGATAGAATGTTTTGGCTCATTTACACCCCAATTTTTTAGGGAGAATACCCTGGAGATGTGTGTGTGATCAGGGGCTTCCCACTTCTCTTACTTTTGCGGCTCGAAGGCTATTTAGAGTATTATTACTGGCATTTGACGATATATATATATATATATATATTGGCAATTTTTTTCGTTACATTCTTATGGCTCCCTGTAAAGAAAGTACCTTAAAAAAATAGTAATTTTTATATAAAAAAGCAGAAAAATTAAAAATTTTTAAATTACAAAATTCTATAAATTTTTTAAAGTTGTTTTACAAAATTCCATTTCAGTTCTACTTGGAGCATTAGAAAAGGTAGAAAATGTATCAATCCGCAACAAATATAGTTTCGTCTTTTTTTAATAAAAAAAATAAAATTATATAATAAAATATAGAAAATCTATAGAAATATTTGTAAAAAATGTCATACGTTGTTTAATAATATATTTTAAGTTAACCACTAATTAAAAGCATTTTTTAAATCAAAATAAATGTGAATACAGTCGAAAGAGCAACGACATGAAATTCAAATTTGGTTGATAATCGGTTTTCGACGCCAACTAACGTCATTGATAATGTATAATATTGTTAAAACAACGCAGGCGAATCATTCGTTTTAACGTTATTAATCAATGTTGTTTTAAATATTTGTAATTTCGGAATTTAAATGGTCAAAATTTATTCTTTGGAACATTCCTTGTCTTTTAGTACCTTTGGTACGTTTCTGCGTTCAGCGGTTCGTAAGAAGATAGCCTCAGATAAATAGACGGATGGATAGATACGTTTGTTAACCTACGTATTTTAATAGTGTAGATTAACAAAACTTCTAATACGACTTCTTTTATTACGACTTGGAAGTAATGAACTGCATTAGATGTTAATTATATCTTGGCAATA